GGTAAAAATCAAAAAAATAAGAAAAAGGATAAATAAATTTATTGCATAAAAGACGTGTCATGTTACAATCTCATCAAAGACCACAATTAAATAATATATAGGCATAAATTTTTAGAATTATGTAGCTACGACATAAAAAATAATAATCTACATTATTATATTCACAAAGTAATAAAAAATGAAAAGAAAACTTCTAAATACATTTCAAGCAAAAAAAGAATAGCGACAAAAATAAATTGTTACATATGCATAAGAATAAACAACGATGTCATGTAATAATTTATTTCATCATATAACTTATTCTCATAATTCTTTTGTTTGAAATAAGATAGTTATATTAATTATGTTTTACAATAAAAAGTAGGATCATATAGGACTAAATGAGTAATGTTGTCAATATGTGTACTTAAGTTACTATAAATTACAAGTCAAAGTAAAAAAAATCTCTAGTAAAAGTAATTCCTAACTATGCTTCAAAAATATTCTTCTAAAGCCTTCAAGAAAACATACAATAAATAAATAAAGGAGAAAGCAATACAATACAAGAATCACTTTTACAATTTTCATTATCAAATAAATATGAATTCAATAAATCAATTCAAGATAAATTATTTAATTATAATAATATAAAACACAAAAAATATAAATAATTGTTAATATGGTACTGTTTTATGTATGGTATTTATGATATTTATATTCCCATCATGTCAAATAAAAAAATAATTATATTAAAAAAGGAAAAATAATTTAAACTATACTCGTAAGTTATGAAATTATCAAGACTAAAATTAAAGGGTATGAGTTATGAGTAGTTATTATTTATAAATATAGTAAATTATAAAAACTTAAAATATTAGAAGTTATATTTGTCATTTTATAATAAGAAAAAGGGCACAAAGAAATTCTCGACGAAAACGATGTCAAATAACTTGAGTATAAATTTAACTACCTTATACGTGCTCTTAATAACAACAATTGCATGAATAATGTAAAAATCAAGCTAAAAAGATATCAAGAAAATATATAATAAATAAATAAATAAAGGAGAAAGTAATACAATACAAGCAACATTTCTACAACTTTCATTATAAAAAAATATGAATTCAATAAATCGATTCATCAATTCATAATTCTTCGAACCCTTATCGTTATCGATATTCATTTCACAAGCCGGTCTGCATTGAAGAATTTTATTCTTCTACTACTTTAAATATGAAATAATAGAATGATCATATTTATAAAGATAAAATGATGGAATATCACACGGTGTTTTAAATTTTAAATTAAATATTTAGGAGATGAATATGAAAAGTATGAGTTATGAATATTATTTAGAGTAAAAATGGAATAAATGAGTTGTGAATGTAAGACTTTAATAAAGCAAATAAAGGAGGAATAAAAACAAAATAAAGAAGAGATGAAACAGTGCTTAATGTCTATAGTTACGGGAAAACTATTTCATGAAAATGGATAACAATCTTTGTTGTTTAAATGAATCTCAAGTAATAGTTTTAAATTTTCTAATAAATTATACAAATAGAAAACATTAAGAAAAATGTCAAAAATTATAAATGAAATTGGATTTATTTTAACAATCATACTAATTTATTGTGTATAAATTATTATATTAATTATTATATTTATTAATGAAAAATTGAGATGTCACTCCAAATTCCAATCATGCATTCTACTTTCTTAATTACATTCAATTATTCTACTTTAATTAAGAAAATAGGGGAAAATAAAGAAAAATATCAAAAAAAAAAGAGAAAAAAAAAGATAAATATGAATGGTGGCCTTAGAGAGGTGTCACATCATCTATATATATATTATTTTTTTATATCAGAACAAAAAAAATTGTACTAACAATATTAAATTAACGTACTCAACTAAATAAGATAATAACTTTTTAAAATATTTACCTATAAATAATAAATATTATTTAATTTTAAATTTTAAATTTTGTTACTTTTTATAAAATTCAAGAGCGAGGTAAATGTTTTTATTCTATTGTTAAAAATAATAATAACATGGCCCGACATTTCATTAGGAGTGAGGTTTATATTTTGAGGAAAATAGGAATAACTCAGTAATATTGTGGTCCTAAAAGAAACAAAAGTGATTACAAGACAAATTTTCAAACATGGATGATTATCTAAGGAATTTGCTCTTAAATTTCTTTTACGTCGCAATTCAATACTTTCTCCATCCCATAATAGTTGTGTTAGTTAGTTTATATATATATATATATATTAAATTACTTGTTTATTAATTAAATTAAAATAAAATTAGTTAATTTTTGTTTTCACTTTATCCCTACAATTAATACTCTTAAGGAAATATTATTAAAAAAAATAATTTAACTAGAAAATAATGGATTCATTAAATGTTTTGAATTTCATGAAAATTAGTAGTGTTGTTCTCAACGTGAAATATAATTATTGAAATTGTAAAATATTATTATTATTATTTTGTAGAGGTATTAATTAATCAATAAATTAATAAATATTACTTTAATGAATATTCTTAAAATTTAATGAATATACCTTATTTCCCCCCTTAAAAACAAGTGATACTAAAAAAAGAAGAAGAATGGAAGAATAAACAACAATGAAAGATAAACAAATTGGAAGAAAGAGTGAATAGAGTATTGAAGTGAATATAAATAAAGGCTTCTTGGACAGTGTTTTTTATTGGGAAGGAAAAATTCTTGGACAATGTAATTTCTTGAAACCATCTAGTGGTTTAAGATTTTTCTTTTAGTAGTTTTACTTTAGCGGGTACTTTGGGTACAACAAGAAAAATGAATTTACCCTATCACCTTTCCCATTTCTGTGAAATTACGACCTTGCCTTGAAAAAGAAAGGTCCTACCATTTTGTGTCAAAAAGTGTCCTGCCAAATACAACTCATCTAGTTGATAAAAAAAAACTAACTTATATGAACCCATAAAATCAGAAGGGCAAGAATTGCAAGAACACTTTTCACTACATATTTTTTCAGATGACATCTCAAGAAAAGTAAAAGAAATATGATAATAATAAAAATAATAATTTTAAACTAATCCTAAGAAACAAAAAAAGGACTACAAGTCAAAATAAATACTAAAGACAATTTCTAAGCCATAGTCCCCGGCAGCGGCACCATTTTTGATAACGTTCAAATATACTTCTTGAAAAGAAATATAAACGATCGTATGCAATATATTTACCCAACTATGAGTCGGGGTCGATCCCACGGAGAATATGGAAGAATATTGTCAATAGCAAATATTTAACTCGATAGTCGTTATATAAAAATGGGGGGATTTAAATTGAAATAAATAAATACAATAAAAAGATAACTTTGAACTAAGTATTTATTTATATTCAGATTATTAAAAGTAACTAGGAATGTGTTCCCATTAAGCTCATAACGAAGTAATCCTAATAATAGTAATCATTTTCTAGTATATTACATACAAAGTGATAAGTTGGGTATCTCTAAATTCTTGGTCCGGCATCTAGACAATTTCACCCCGCACCTTGGTCCGGCTACGTGTGTATAATTTACTAACCCTTACCTTTACCTCATATTAGACATCATAATCGATGTTTGGCTTAGTTATTACTTCGCACCAATCGACACTAGCCTATTAGATAGTATCACACTAAATCTATGTTGATAATTCTTTTCTTGTTGATTACCTCCTTGATCCGGCAAGTAGCACAAGGAGAGTTCTAACGCGTGCACTCGTTAAAAAGACTTTTAAACAAAAGAATTATCAATGCATGCAAAACACGATTCAAGAATTGCTTATTTACTATTCATACTTTGTTAATAGATCATGGTTCCCACAACCCTAGTTGTGAATTTAGTTACTCATATTGGCAAGAACACAATTCATATAGATAGAGAAACCCTAAATAAAATAATTGAGTTCAAGACAAATTAGGAAAACAAAACCCAATTAAATTGGGTTTTCCACTGTACGCGTATTTCTGGAATTTCACGTTGCTGACCGCCTTTCATTCTAATTTGAGCCATCCAGATGCTGAGACATGGCAGCAATAGTACCCAATTTCAATTTGAAAATTGTTCGCAGCCTTTTTCCTCATATATACAAATATATTATTTTATTAAATTTAATCAATTAAGCTGCTTGCTTGATTTCCTTCTTGAACCTTCCATCTTTAATTCGTTTTAGCTTCAAACTTCTCCAATTTTCCACCAATTTAATCCTACAAATAAAATATCCAATTTAGCATAATTCATCAAATTAATGTTCAAAAAGGACAAATATAAATAATAAATGTGAAGAAATAATGATTAAAAATATTTATTTTTAGCCTCACATCAGAAGCCTGAGAGGGTGAGAGGGGGTACAGTCTCAAACCATCTAGCCTTTTTATATAATAGCAATGAACTCACTTTACCCATAAAGTGTCCTTGTTGCGTGGGTTCCATAACAACATAATAATTGCAGCTCTGTTCTAGATAGTAATATCTAGTATGCTATGATCTCATGTTATCCTAAGCATGCACGCCTTATCTCATGCAAGAAGAGCCTTCTTAGTACATTCAACACCTCATGTCCACACAAATCTCTTACATTTTTGCTCTACAAGTTTTATGATTTTTGTTGGTAGAACAAAAATTTGAGACCAGTATACTTGAATTAAGAAGAACCCATTTATTGATCACGTTACTAAAGCAAAACTTTAATATTGAATACCGCTAAATGAATTCAAATCTCTCTAGAATAATAATAATATTTGTGTATGCTCTACACTCTCCTAGTATAAATGATTATTATTATTTTATTGTTAAATGGGTTCAATAATCTTTCCCGCTCTATTTAAAGACAACCCGAAACCATAACTGAGACACATAGTACATCTTGACCCGGGAACGACAACGACTTTTTCGGATCCAATGGCACCTATCGTAAATTCTGCTAACCGTCGAACCTAATTCCAAAACTCTCCTCAATAAAATATCTTCTCTCTTCTCGAACCTTCTTCTTGGCGTCACAAACTTTTTTCTTGCTTAGATATTTTCATCTTTCCTTCCTTTAACACAATCATCTTCTCCACGTTACACATTGCGTTTCTGCCTCCATATTTTCTTTTGCCTCTTCAAATTCTCTAAATTATTTCTCCAGTATCTGGTTCATAACTGCATTTATCTATGGTTTAATTGAATTAATAACTTTTTTTCTATACTCTGTACCCGTCAATTTAGGTACAGTTTCTGTTTTCGCATCATTTTTTTGGGATTTTGGCTCTGATTTAGAGACAAAACAATAAACGGTTATGGATCAAGAAGGAGGATCAGCCGGATCTTGTTATTATTCAGTTCTAGGGATACGCAATGATGCCTCCTGCTCCGACATTCGCTCAGCTTATCGGAAACTAGCTCTGGTACGCCATAGTTTCTTAACGTTATGTATTTATAAAATTTTATGAGAGAAAAAAAAATTACAACATTTTGTACAAATATATAGTACTCTGTATAGAAGTGTATGTGTGAGTATTGTAACATCAGCGTGAATTTTGGGTGATTTGTGAAGAAATGGCACCCGGATAGGTGGGCGAAGAATCCGTCGGTGGCCGGAGAAGCGAAACTCCGATTTCAGAAAATCCAAGAGGCCTATTCAGGTTACAATTCTTCACTTTTACTAGGCGTGTGTGTGGTTATTTTACTTGTTGAAAAATGTCTTACTTTTGAAGAGGAAATTGACGGTGGTTATTTGTCTTGGCAGTTCTCTCCGATCAAGACAAGAGGTCAATGTACGACGCCGGTTTCCTTGATATGCTTGAGGAAGACGAAGTACGTAAATTTGTTTTTTTCAGAAAGTAATCATATAACTACTGATACTGCTTCTGCAATTTCTCAACTGCGAGAAATTCTGATCGTGATTTAGTAATTCAGAATTACTACTAATTTTTAGTGATTATGATACTCCTTACAATTCCAAATTTATCTCTCCTGAGTCTTTCAATTGCAATTCAACTGAGTATCCCAATTATGCTTTCCAATTATCTTAAAGAAGATACAACATGAAGAACAGAACAGTGCAAGAAGTAGCCAAAACAACACCAAAATCATGTGATAATCGAAATACCATTTAAACATACTAAGATAATACAATTACAAATGATAGAAATAAATAAAAAGCAATGAACTACAATAAGACCAGACTACGCTACCTACTACCTTTTTACATGTCTTCCACACCTTCCTATTTAGGGCCATGTTCTTGATAACCCAAAGTTGTGTCATATCCTGTCTTATCACCAATCCCCACTAATAAAAAAATACAACTACTACTTTTTCACGAGTTTTAGCCTTCAATTATCATCGTGTGGGTATTAAAACACTAATACAATTTGTTTGTATGCAGGGAATGGGTGATTTCCTGCACGATTTGATGAACAGAATGGATCAAAATGTTGGGGCCGCGGTAAGATATTTTAATGAGTTGTACTCCTACATGTTTTTTGTGCGTGTATGATTCATTTTGTATGTATTTATTGTGTAATTAAATGGTGAAGGAGGAGAGTCTAGAGGATTTACAGAGGACATTTGTGGATATGTTTGGTGGAGATTTAGCTAAGATGATGGGTGATGGAACTTCAACGGCAAAGAAGAGGGCACGTGATTCGGGTTGCAGCAAAAGGGCTGCATCAAAACGCAACAATGTTACTAATGTCAACTTCAATGGCACCTGTTAGTTTTAAGCAAAAATACAGAGAAGGCCTCCTTTTCCTCTCTTTGATGTTGATTTTTGTGGGGCTGAGAGGAATTAACTTGTTTATTTGGTGGTAGATTAGGCAGAATAGAACCTTTTTTAGACTTTTGATTTCTAAGGAACAAGTTGTTCAAATGTGGGTGCCGTTGAGTTGCGTAATAAAATGTCTCTTTGATTAATTAAATTAGTAGTACAGGCTCTTCCAAAATATCTTCCAGTGTTACCTATATTATTTAAGAAATTTGGTACTTATAACATATGAGATTTGTCTGATCAACTTTTTTGATATTTCGCATGCACTACACATTCATTGACAAGGTTAAAAATCTGAATGATTCAAAAGTAAATACTGTACCCCTTTATGGGATATTTTATTTAAGTTACTTTAGTTCTTTTTAAGACAACAAAATCATTCAGCTATTGTTTTTTGATTAAAAAAACATAAGATGCATGTACGACTTGTCTTATCATATTAAATCTCCAATTTTAATAATATAATGTATTTAATTCATGATCCTTATCCATCTAGGGATGTATGTGTTTTTTAGTTTTTGATGCCTACTTTATTTTAAAATTATATATAATTTTTTTTTGGCGAAAAAAAGACATTTTATGGAGCGGAGGAGCATTGCATGGAAAAGATGTAGTAAGAGGAATTAAGGGGTCGTTTGTTTGTGGAGTGTATTAGCAAAAATAATGTATGCATCGTTATGAGAATATTATAATGATATAACAAATGAGAGGAGGCATACAAAAATGATTGAGGAAGAGAGGGAAAAGGTGAATGTTTTAATTTAATTAAAGGGAAGACGTGTAACGTGGTAGGGAAGGATGGGATGACACATACCCAGTGAGGACGATCATATTTTATACGAATTAAACATAAACAACACGCGTCATTTTTTGTCTACCTCTCTTTAATTTCCCTTTAAAAACTGAAACAACATTATACTAGTGCTAGCTGTTGCGCGCAACTACTGCTCCCAAGATCTCCGGCTATGCAAAAATGAAGTCTAAATTTTCATAAACAATTTTGAACTATGAAAAGTAAATGCTTAAAGAAGCTAAAAGGGTTTAACATTTAATTATATAAATAGTATATATTTTTTCCATAGGGTATGCAATGTACTTTCACAATGGGAAAAACGTTTATTTCCTCTCACTCCCTTTATTTGCCGCTTGAATCCAAAAAATAATAAAAATCTTCGTTTCTATGCAAGGCCCCAGCTAGAAAATGCTACTGCTAATTATTAAGGTATGAATTTGCTTGTTTATGTATCATATATGTGAGTTGTGGCCCACCACAACTAACAACTGATGTGAAATTTGCAACTCTGCAAAAGTTCCAGTGTATATTTGTTGACCATATAAATTCTATCTAGCTTCATAAAGATAAAATAATGATCAGGACCAATTCTATTTATGTATGTATATATATAAAATACTTTATAATATAAAGTAGTTTATGTGTCTACAAAATTATAATTGGACAAGCAGAACACAACATCATGTGTCAGAAGATGGAACTAGAAGTTGTGTTGTTTTGTGTTAATCTTCTTTGGAGTTCCCAGTCTAATTTAATTGATGAGATAGAATTGTTCAGATTGGTAAGTATTCTTCATTCTTAACTTAAAGATTATGAATTTGAATTACTAAGGGAGTAAAAGATGTGAAAGTTAAAAATTAAAATCTAAAAAAAATTTACTCATTTAATTATGTGAATAATAAATTTAATAATAATATTTGGTAATACTTATTAATCAACAAAAGTTTTAGAATGTAAGCGTTAAGAACAAGGAATCACATGTTACACAAAATAAAATATCTTACCATAGAAGGAAGATATTCGCCTTCTGTGGTGAAAAGGGGGGGTATGAAGATCATGTGGAATGTACATTTAATGCCAATATCTCTTTCCATTTTCCCTCTTCTTCTTTTTCATACCATATCTGATATTTATATTAAAATCTAATTAAATTTAAATTCATGTAAAAAAACTTCATGTTAAAGTAAAATGTTATCTAACAAAAGTGATTATGTATTTAGCAAAACTTGATTCATTTTTCCTTTTTTATTATTATTTTTATTTTGTTACATTAACCTGAATTGTGATGAAATAATTAAGATACTTTCATTTTTAATTCGAGTTTCAAAAATGAATTTTTTTATTGGAAGTGTCGTCTTTATAAATAGATCTTGTAATGCGCTAATTTAGATTTAATTGAGATCCAATCCGAATATTGATGAACACCTAACTGGAAAAAAAAAACTTATTTCACTACTACTATAATTATTTCTTTGTTTGTCTAGGTTTTACTTGGTATGAAGTTTAAAAAATAAAGATGACTTTTGATCTTGTGATTTTAAATTAACGATAATAAAATAATTAAAATATTTTTTAATTTTGTAGTCTTAAATATGTTACTTGAAAGTAAAAATTAAAGAATTATCAATAAAAAAAATTAAAATAGAGAAAATAAATAAATTATGCCAAACAAAAACGAATAAAGTTGAATTATTTTCTTTCTAAATTTAGCCAAGTTGCTACCTTTTTGTTTCTATTTCCAATTATATATTAATCCAGTTTCTAGATCATTCCATTTTGAAATTCACGTAACCAATGACGTTTCCATCTCTCGTATCTTTTAACTTCTCTCTCTACATCGAAAGAATTAAATTTGGAAGCACTAAACTCATTAATTAAGTTTGATCTTTTCAATATTTGTGGAACTACTCTTAATGATTTATTCAATTATTTTTTTGAAAATGTTTTTTTTTTTTAAAAAAAGTTACTACCTCATTTTTTTTAAAATATGGTTATACCTATCTATTTTTCTTCATTGATTTCATTATTTCAATAAATATCTAAATTCATGTATATATATTCGAAAGAGATAAGCTCACGTTTAAGTGGCTATCAAAATACTTTTCATTTATATTTTTAACGATATCATTATAAATGGCTATCTAGCATTAATGCGATATTTATATATGATTCGTTAAATTTGAATTTACACATAGCAAAACTTATTTCTAAAGGCTTTATTATTATTATTTTCAAGATTTCAAACCCGATGATATTATTTATGTCTAACTGATATCTAAACTTGAGGAGCTCCTTATGAAGAAAATAACCAATGTATCTACTTAATTCAAGCCCCATTTTGAGTTGTAATACAAAAGTGATTATTAATAGTTTTTCTGAACATAATTCAAATAAAATATTCTGAACTTTTTTTTGTTTGCTTTTTTTAATGTTAAGAGACAGAATGTGTTGGTTTTTGGTTGGACCGATTATTTTAATAACTCCCCAAATTATAGCTACGATATCTTGCCACACCGATATTTATTGGTCTCTAGAAGCATTATTTCAGTTTTAATATTTCATCTTTTTCTAGAAATAGGTAATTTAATCAGTTGGATAAATTTATAATGAACTTTTCCTCAATATTTTATTATTTATAGAGGTGATCCATAATGGTTTACTAGAAGTTCCTTTTATTTAATTATAATAAATAAAGTAGTTATAGAAAAATAATAAGAAACTGGTTCTACTTCTTTATTCTCTGGCCATTATCCTATTTTGCTATTTCATTGATTCTTTTGACTAGTTTTTTTTTTTAATAAATAAAAATGTGGAAAAAGGGTTAAATATACTCTGAATTATTCGATATGACTAAAAAAAAATTCTTTGTTTTAGAACAACGGTTAGTAAGAACTAAGAAGAGTAATTTTACTATTTTGATAGTTGAAGGATACTTTTCAATAAAAAAATATAGTAATAAGTATTTTTGAGCCAAAAATATAGCTGATGATAAAATTCACCCACTTTAAATAATTTAGAGATATATCTAACCATTTTTTCCTAAAATCAAATCTGACCGTGTGAAATTAGTTACAAACATCTATTTGATACAAGCTTATTTGCATTGGGTGTATATCAAAATGATGCAAACTACTATGGTTAAGGTTAAGTAATTTAATAAAATAAAAATATACATTAGTTAAACATAATTAATTTGGTTATAATTGTGAATATTTTAATACATATTATATTATGTATTTGATTGATTTGATGTAAATATTCTACGAATAAATTTGGATTAATTAATTATCCTTCTTCTCAATGGGTTTGTTTGACCATAATGGAAAAGCTAAAAGTGCTTAAATGCTTATATGAAAAAAAAACTATTTTTCAGAAGTCGGTTAAATACATATTATTATTTAATTAATATAGATAAAAATTTGTTTAAATTAATTTGCTAAAAACAATCAATTACAAATTTGGCCGATATCCATTAGGATGGATGGGTTCGTCTGATAGAACGGCTCGATTAGTGTTACATTATACAAGTAGGAGTTTGATTATATAAAACATTAATTATTGTGATTTATAATATTTTTTAATTTATTTTTAATTATATATTTTTATTTCAAAATACTTGAAACTTCATGTCTGAATTCAACTTATGGATCTCAAAATTGCAATTGTTAGGCATATGCCGATGAAAACAAAACCAAAAATTATAAATACGATGAAAGAATAAATATTGCAAAATCTCTAATACATATTGAAACCTAAATTTAATGTATTCATCACACTGCATCTAGAAAAAAATAGTATATATTTGTAGCATAAGAAAATTGCGACTACAATATTAATAATATTCTTAACAAAACTACTACATTAGTGTTGAAAAAAACTCGAATCTAAACAATTTTTTAAAAAAACCCTCCCTAGGAACTTCTACGTTTTTCGCTCTCATATTGACTCAAATCCACAATCAACCATTGATGTAATCCCTCTTGAATCAAGATACCCTTATTTACGTTGATGCACAGAGATTGAACGTGTAGGTATCCGTTCGAGCAGAGCCCTCCCTCTAATAGGAAGTGTGTTATGAGGGTGAAACGCTCTCGTGACACCTTTTGAGTTGACACTCACAGTTTGAATCCCACAGCTACGAACAATATGTGATGAAATATTTAATGACAATGTCCTCAATATTAATTTCTCAGCTTCTACTTCATTCATCCCTTTCTTCCATTCTTTTTCCAACAATTTATTCAAATGTGCAACCCCATATCCTCCTACACAAAAATTGGATTTCTCCATAACAATCCCAACATCACTTACCACGTATATTTTTTTTTCCTCCACCAATTATAACACTAGTTTGTAGCATA